CCATACTGAATAAATCTTCGTCTTTTGAATTTAATACGAGCGGGTTTATGAAGTTCCCTAACGACTTGTTCTCTAGAACCCATCGCTTTGTCTAACGAAATAGTGCTGGTATATGTGTATTTATATTTTATTTTGGGTTAGAATTTTTTTACTTAATAATAAATCTTCAAGGACACCTTTTACATCACCCAAATCGTTTGATAAATCGTCTATTTTCTGGTTTGTTATTGTCTTAAACGAATCAAGCACTCTCTGATATTGTGCTGCTATATCCGTATCAATGTTCTGTATATCATGCTCAATGTTTGATAGTTTAGAATTGATACTATCCAGTTCTAGACGTTTAGCCTTATTGGATTTTTCAATCACCGTATCTGTATAATTCTTTATCGCACTTTCCAGCATATCAAGATCTATATGCAGTTTCTTGACTATCTCATCCTCTAAAGTTCCAAATTTCTTATCCATATCCATTAGACGTGTTGAAATTTTTGAAAACGTCTCCTGTAAGTCTATCTCTAACGCTTCTAATCTTTCGGCAAGAACACTGTTAAATGCGTTTATTGTTTCCATAGAACGAGCTTGAAATTTTATCTCTTCGCGGACTTTCCCTGCTAGCTCATCAGTATATCGTTTAGTCGATACATCGCTCTCTTCTGTAGGGTCTTCAACATTAGTTATTTTTCGATTTTCAAAATCATAATCTCCTTCAGGTGTGTGGGAAAATTCAGGTTGAGGGTGCACTAACCTTCGCTTGGAAGATAAAGACCATCCGAACTTGTTCATGGTTGAAATAATAATGCCTAAATATCTAGTATAACACTTTATTTATAGGTTCAACTACACCTAGTTCTAACAATTCTTCAAGAATACTCATTATTTCATTCGTATGGTTTCCGTTTCCTGCTGTTTGAGAGGCATCCAGTTTACTTAATCTATCCACCAACTCGTTGACGTCATCATAATAAATATATTCTTTAGGTTTTTCATTATACTCAAGTAGTGCGGATCCAGATTTAGTTTGCGATCTGGTTTTAGGGATTTTCTGTGCTATATTGCTGGCTGATGAATGCCTAAGTCTTGAACCTTCAAGCGAAGCCGAAGATGCAGCTGTAATCAATGGTTTAACGAAATCCCTATATTTCACAGATTTACTACCTCTCAATTGTCCCAATGGACTAAAATCTCTTTTGTGAACGTTGGTTTGCTTCAATATTTTCTGAAATTGAACTCTATCGTTTTCAGTAAAGTGCATAGGTTTCTTTAGAAATAACAATTCATATAAACCACGATTTCCTTTGTAAATAGAATCGCCTACTCGTATATCACCATTTTGAAGAAAATCCACTTTTTCCGTCCCCATTTTCCAAGTTTCAGTTGGTGCATTATGTTGTAAACCATACGTATGATCTATTTCATCGGAATCTATAAAGTACTTATCGATAAATTCATGTGCTATTTTTGGATACTGATCCAAGTAGCTCTTGTACACTTCAGTTTGTTCTAGAATTGATTTTTGAAGATCTTCGTTAGCATCTTTAAATGCTTGTAGTGATTGTACTTCCATAAAAACATTATCATCATCATCATTATCACTGTTTCCAGACTTCTCCGCAATCATTTCAGTCGGCTGGAATTCAACATACTTTTGAGAACTGCGTTCAGGTTTCGGCTGTTTCTTTATCGATGATGGTGGTGTTATCTTTTCCATCTTTACAATTTCCTCTTCCTTGTTCTTTATTGTTCTGTCTGCGAGTTTATTTAAGGGTATAGTTATAGGTCCCAATATTCTATTTAGAGTTTCATCTCCCTCATCACGTTCTAATTTCAAGGCTAGATGTTTTTTTCGTATATGTCTAGCAGCATTTATAATCTTTCTCTGAACTTCTCGCTCATCTTTTGTTAATATTTTAGGCATTTCGAACCAGATCTGTTTCAATCAGGGCCGTTCCAATCAGGTCCGTTCAATCAGGTCCGTTCAATCAGGTCTGTTACAATCGGGTCTGTTTCAATCAGGTCTGTTACAATCGGGTCTGTTTCAATCAGGTCTGTTTCAATCAGGTCTGTTCCAATCGGGTCTGTTTCAATCAGGTCTGTTTCAATCAGGTCTGTTACAATCGGGTCTGTTTCAATCAGGTCTGTTTCAATCAGGTCTGTTCCAATCGGGTCTGTTTCAATCAGGTCTGTTTCAATCAGGTCTGTTACAATCGGATCGTTTGATACTAGGTGTATCCTCGATCAAGGACTCTTACATACTAACCATTAAACTATGTTTATGGTATTATATAGGTATTAAATCTGCTTCGGTAACGACCTTTGTGAATATCACAGTCTTTAACAATAACAAGAAATCCATATTTGTCTTTCCAACATTCAGAACATATATCCTTAAACATGTTTATCGACATGTCTGTATTTACGTGATCATCATACACATGCCTAAGATTAGTATCATCTTGCTTGAAAAGTATCAACATATTAGCATTATCTCGAACCAATTGTTTAGGGATCTTTGAATAGGTCTGACAGAGGTAAAACGAGTCGATTGCATTGTGACGACCCATGCAAAAATAATTTCTAATTTTATCTTGTTTCTCACAAGCTACATCATCGAATATGAAGACAGAGTCGGGTTTGGCGTTTACGGGATCCAATACACTATCGTTATCGCTGTATCCGTAGTAATTAACACCTTTAATACGATCCAAAACCTGTTGCAAAAATGTGTATTTGTCTTGAAAGAGAGACTTTGAGTAAACATACACGTTCTCAAACCGAAGTCCGTTTGGATCTGTTAAAAGACTTAACATCACATTCGTTTTTCCTGAATTACTGGGGCCACAGATTATAGCCCTTATAGTATTTGGTAATAGATCGCTATGTCGATTTCTAGCATCACCCTGTGCGATATCGAAATTACAAACATCAATATCGATTTTCTGTTTAACTTTTCTCTCATTTTTTTTTTCACATATATACGATGTTTATTCGATCACGTCTTCAGTTGTAATGAGAACGTCAAAGGGTAAAGGTCTCTTAAATAGGGCTATCAATAAATTACCATTTGAACTTCATTTACCTGGTTACCAGTATTGTGGTCCGGGAACAAAGCTTGCTAAACGATTAGCTAGAGAGGAGATCCAGGCATAAACGAATTAGATCGAGCGTGTAAGGAGCACGATATCGCATACTCGAAAGAAAAGGATTTGAATCGACGACATCAAGCCGATAAAGTGTTGGAGGAAAAAGCGTGGGAAAGAGTTAAAGCTTTGGATTCTAATATCGGAGAAAAAAGTGCTGCGTGGCTTGTTACAAACGCAATGAAAACAAAACGAAAGCTTGGTATGGGTGTTAAACGAAAACCCTTCAAATCTTTTATTGTTAATAAAGTGAAGAGACATATTAAACATTATGGTAATGGCACCCTCAAGGATAATATTAAACTAGCACTGAGAGCAGCTCGCATGAGTGTTAAACAAGCTGGTGGTAGAAGAAAAGTTAAAGTACCTAGAGTTATCCCAGTACCTAAAGTCGGAGGAATTTTACCTCTTATTCCGCTCTTCGCAGGCCTAAGTGCTTTGGGAGCTCTTACCGGAGGCGCTGCTTCTGTCGCTAAAGCTGTTCAAGATAGCCGAGCGGCAAGAGATAAATTAAAGGAATCTCAACGACATAACGAAACCATGGAAGCCATTGCGTTGGGTAAAAGAGGAAGCGGATTATACCTTGCCAAACACAAGACAGGATATGGATTATTTCTTCAGAAGCAATTGCCAAAAAACTACCAATAAAGCTACCCAATCGACCTTTGTCTAACCTAGATATACAGAAATATGTAAAGAAATTAAAAATTGTCAACTTCAGAGGAGTATTCATGCGAAATGCTCTACCACAAACACCTAGAACGAACGAGTGCGGTGTTGTAAATTTGGACGAGATTGAAGGAGATGGAACTCATTGGGTAGCATATAGAAAAACAAGGGATAAAGTTGTGTATTTTGATAGTTTTGGAAATTTAAACCCACCAAAAGAAATTGTTCGATATTTCAAGAAATGTAAAATATATTATAATTACGACCAGTATCAAACATATAATACTTATAATTGTGGTCATCTTGCATTGTCCTTTCTCTATAATAATAAATAGTTATAAAAGAACATGTGTTTTAATTTCACGCTCAGTCATGTCTCAGACATTCACACTGAAAGGTCGTTCTAGCTGTTTAAGCGTGGATATTAATCCTCCAATAGAACTCGATTCTAGATACAGTTATTCTCTAGCTCTGATATCTCTCAGTACCTGGAATTCAATACCGAATATCGAACCAGGTCGAAATAAGTTTCATTATTCTGTAGACGGTATAAAGCAAATAATTGAAATTCCAACAGGATCTTACGAGATTACCGACATTGAAGAGTATTTGCAAAAGAGCTAAGTTCTAAGAGTAAAACCGTTATAAAGTTACACCTAATAATAATACACTAAAGTGTGAAATAAAGTGTATCTACGATATAGATTTTCAACCTGAAGATAGTATTGGAAAAATATTAGGATTTTCACCGCAAGTTTTAGCTGCCAACAAATTGCACAAATCAGATATACCTGTGGAAATTTTTCCTGTGGTAACAATACGTATTGAATGCAATATCATATCTGGATCGTATTACATTAATAATCCATCTCATACACTGTACGAGTTTAGTCCTAGCGTAGATCCTGGCTATAGTATAATTATCGAACCCAGGAATCTAATCTACCTTCCAGTAAATAGAAATTTTATTGATAACATTACATTGGATATATTAGATCAGGAATCAAGACCGGTCAACTTTAGAGGTGAAGATATTGTTATACGTTTGGAGCTTAAAAAGAATGGGTTTAACTTTTAAACCTTACTATTTAAATACCAGATCACAGAGCAATCAATCAGTTAGTACTTGTACGCCGAAGCAGACGCTCACGTCCAAGAGTATACTTCAGCTTCACCATATTATCAGCAAATATGGACTCCGTATCAGAAAAACTACAAATATTCCAACCGGTCAACGTAGATGAATCCATTGCTCGAGAAGAATGGCATACGTATCACCCGTTCACCAAATCATTTAAGAACAGCGATGAGATAGAAATTGTTATTAATCAACAGGATGTGTTTATGGATATTAGCCAGGCTGAATTATACATTGAAGCCAAATTTCTGGAAGAAGTATCGACAGTTGTGAAAACAGGAAAATGTTCCCTGACAAATAACGTTGGAGCATTTCTATTTGAATCGATAACGTATGAATTGAATGGAAAAGTAATCGATAAAGTACGAGATCCAGGGCTTATAAGTACCGTTAAAAGTCTTTTGTGTCTCAATCAAAATGAAAGTACTGCCCTTGATGTGGCGGGATGGAATTGGCCGAACGGTACTGTGAAATCATATGAGCCAGAAACGGATAATTTCAGTCTCCTAATACCATTGAATTTCCTATTGAACGTCTTCTCCGATTATACTAGCGCTATTATGGGAACGCAGAAATTAAAGCTTGTACGTGCCAAAAAAGATGATAATTGTTATGTTAATTCAGAGGGAAACAAGAAAGCAGACATCACCATTTTGAATATCGAGTTAAGAGTAAAACATATCTACCCGAACGATTCTGTGAAATTAAAATTGTTTGAAGCGATTTCCAAGGACAAACCGATATTTGTTGGATTTAGGAAATGGGAAATTCATGAACTACCTGCTCTACGACAAGCGAGAAAAGATGTATGGACGGTGAAGGCAGCATCTGAACGAGCGAGATATGTTGTTGTATTCTTCCAAGAAGATCGAAAAGATAACTATAAAGCTGATGGCATATATTTCGATAATTTGAAAATTACAGATGTCAAGCTTTATCTAAATTCCGAGGCCTACCCATATGAATCCCTAGATTTAAATTTCAAAACCAGACAGTTTACTAAAGCCTATTCCATGTATACGGATTTTCAAAAATCGTATTTGGGAAAGATCAATAGCGAACCTTTGCTAGATTTTACCGCTTTTGCCAGTCGAGCCCTATTTGTAATTGATTGTTCAAAACAAAACGAGGCTCTGAAAAGTAATGTGATAGATGTAAAGCTAGAATTTGAGAGTTCGGAAAATTTCCCCGAAAACACCCGAGCATTTTGTATCATCATATACGATCGAGTCATGGAATATTTACCTTTATCAGGACATGTTAGAACGCTAATTTAATCAGTTGCTGCAAGACATTGATACGATGAAGTTCGTTGTTATAGACGTACAAGGATTTCCCATCCCCGAATTTGAGGTTAAGGAATTATCCATATACGATGGAAAAGAAATGAAAACCTATACATTTAAACCGAAGATTTGTTACAACCATCTGCCGATACACCATAAGAAGACGATAAATTATATATTTCACAATGTTCATGGAATCCCTTATAATTCAGGGTATTTACCCTATAAAGCGATGTATAACATAATACAGGAGGAATTGGAAGGTGTCGATATGGTTTTCGTTAAAGGACATATTAAAAAGGAATTTCTGCTGTGCACATACAACGAAATGAATCTTGATCCACCCTGTATAGTGAACTTGGAATTTACTTCTGGATCTGTACCGAAATTAGAACAATCATACAGTAATAATTGTAATTATCATAGACTAGAAATATGTTCTTGTACTGTAAATAATGCTCATATATTATATGATTATATTATAAACATTTTAACTCAATAAATTTAAATCTATTAATATCTTGTTTTTTTTTTTACTTATGCTTTTGAAGAAGAAGTGAAAGTGCTGAGATAATTCAAGATAGGAATTAGTATTGATTGGGAAGATTATTGAATATTGTTTACCTATTTTTTATAATTTACTAGATGAGAGAAATGTGGAAAAATAAATACACAGTGAAATGAAAAATTGTTTTATTTAGAATAAATACTCTAAATATTTTTTTATAAAATCAGTCTTGTACAATATAAAAGATTGAAAAATGTTTTTCAGTACATGTGTAAAATAAATATATAATAAAAATGATTATTTATGTTAGGAAAAATTACTAAATTTGAATGCAGCTATTTAAATGGTTGTAGGATATAAAGAAAAAAAGGTTTGTTTAATAATTCTTTATTGATGAATATAACAAACGTATTAGTACAAACATTACAGTGTATCTTTATAACATAAGTGTTAATGTTTATCTGTGCCGTCTCTCTCTCTAGAGAACTGTTAAGACAGATAAAAGTATTTTGCTGTTGTGGCGGATGCGCCAGAAATTATCCTAATAACATTCGTGTTTATGTAACATTATTTTCTATACACTATGTATAAAAATATACGTGACAGTATAAAATGATAATGTTTATCTACAACGTCTAACTAAAGAACCTAAATCTAATATACGTATGAGTACAGTTTGTATAGTAAACATACAAATACGTTAAAAGTAACATTATTTTCTATACATCCTGTATAAAAAATATAACAAAAGTATATAATGTGTGTTAGTACAAATAAAATATAAAAACATAATTTTCTACATAGTCTGTATAAGATTTAAATCCTACATATTTAATGATAAAACAATTAGAACTTAACTGAAATCTAATATAGGTTTATATAAGTACAGACTGTATAGTAAACACACAAATACGTTAAAACGTGTGTAATACAAATATAAAATAGGTTCCCAATATAGATGGGTGTTAATAACAATTATTATAACTACAAAAACACTATATATACAAAACTAAACATATTATAACTAAAAGTATGAACTAAATACAGTTTTTCTCAATGTCTAACTTTTTTAAAACCAAACGGTAATGAACCACCTTCCTCGTCGAATTTCCGTTTTGTTGACAGCGGCCTGTAGAGCTTTGTCTGCTGTGTGGTTATAACCTTGTGATCCCCAGTTCTCCGTATCTGCCTGTATATTATGGGGATAGGTTCGGGCTCTTCTGCTAAAACCATGGATTTGATGGTTTCAAAATTGATGGTTTGAGAGGCGTTGTAGTTTAGGGAGAGACCTTTAACCTTACACGTTATGGAATACTCCCGGATTTAGGAGAATATACCTTATACGCGTAATTCTTAGGTCCTCCCGATACAAACTCATCAATGTAGCTGCCCTCACCATACCCCTCCAACTCATCGGTCATTTCACCGAGGAAATTTCCAAGTGGGATATCTTCTTCTTGTCCTGCCTTCGATAGGTAAATAACGCTATCTGTGTCTGTGTAAATAGCGTTATCCCCGACTTTTCAAGGTAACTGTATAATTTCAGCCGGGCCTGGGCTGTTGTGTAGGCTGCCAAACATACATTTACTGTTGGTAAAACATCGTACGCTTCATCCTTGAATACCCAGTTTACCAGCAGGGTATCGTCGTTCACAGGCACTATGGAGTTGACATCTGTTGCAGGGTTAGATAACATGGAAAACAAGACTTCTGGTCTGTTGACAATAGACGTCTTTCCCTGGTTTTCCCTCTGCCCTAACTTACCCCAAAACGATGTGATGACAGCTTTTCCAAGCTGCCTAAGACCAGGATTTACAGAAACCTTTTCCGGGTTTAGCGTAACGCCTTCCTTTTCCAGGTATTCACGTACGTATTGATCTTTGGATTCGGGTGTTGTACAGTATGATGGCCAGCCTGACGATTCCTGTTTGATTTTCAGAAACTTACTAATAATGTACCCGTTGAACAAACCCCCTTCTTTCGTCTCCGGATTATATTGGGTTACCTTATATTTCCATATTTCTTGAATGTCTAGTATTATATATCCTTTTTCCAACGCCTTCACCACTTCGTCAATAACCCACGTACCGCTAATTGTTCTTTCTTCATCACTATGTCTACATTCTTTAGCACCGACTTTTGCGCATGTGTAACGCAACACGAACGCAACACGAACGCAACGCTAACGCAACACGAACGCAACGCTAACGCAACACGAACGCAACGCCAACGCAACGCTAACGCAACTCTAACGCAACGCCAACGCAACGCTAACGCAACACTAACACAGACCCGATTGAAACAGACCTGATTGAAACAGACCCGATTGAAACAGACCTGATTGAAACAGACCTGATTGAACGGACCTCCCCCTTCTCAAGCAAGATGCCGAGATTGTTTATATTCTCTCCGTCAACATAGCTAAACAAACAGTCATTCAGTATCCAGACATGACGGCGTTAAGTTCAGCTTTTATTATATTTGCCGTTATAGTGCAAAATACATTCTATATAAATAAACCGAAAGATGTTATTGAAGCTTTCGTATGTTTAAAAAATAATGATTCTACAACGAAGTGTAAATGGCCAGAAGCTTGGCAGAGATTGGAATATAGCAATAACGGATCGGTGGAAGTTTTCAAACGTCCATTATCGGAAGAAGAGACTAGGAATAAGACGAACATAAAATATAAAATAAGGGTAATCTTTTCAAATAGAAGTGTTGGAGATCAATCTGATTGGCAGATGTTACCCATCAATTTTAACGATAGTTCAACTATGAAAAATCAGACGTGTAAAAAGGATAAGGAAGAACCTACAGTGATTTCATATATAGTTCTATTTTTGTATATAATTATGACGTTTATATCATCTGCTATAATAGTATTTAGTACCTGCGCCAAAATATCAAAAAGTAAATGTATTGCATACTTTAAATAAATATTAAAAATTTGTATTTTGTTTTTCATTAACACCCTGTATCTATAAATATACATATTTCTGTTTGTGGTAAAGCGTGTTAGCGGTCTTATCGGTAACTTCCGTGTATAGAAAACCAATTTAATCGCCGGTCGTATACATTTGGTCGCTTTTAGTTCATTTCTAACTTCTAACGGTTTTGGAATCAAGAAATTTTCTGTGTATTTTGAGTGTGTTTAGTGAAAAGGGCTTAAAAGTGTGTGATATCGAAGAGTGATTTTCGTGTGTTAAGTGCCTGTTTAACGGAGTATGTGGATAATAACTGTAAACTCAGGTAGGTCCGTATTTTAAAGGTCTCTGTGTGTTTTTATGGTAATAAACCTATTTTTTCGGCAAATTTGTACATGGGCCTATAGCGTGATGGTATATGGGTGTTTATAGAAAAACATATTTTAGTTATTATTTTTATTCCATCTATAAGTTTTAATGGTTCAAGCTTAAATTAATTTTATTCCATAGTAAATTATTATTATAGCGTATTTTTCATTTTAAGTGATATTTTTTCTGTTGGGATAAGGGTACATGGTATAGGAAAGACCACACCCCAATATGGCCGTTGTGTAAATATTTTAAAGTTACACGAAAATAACCGATGTTTGCCGAAGTCGATGACAGATGACCAGCGGTTGTTTACCTGATTTAAATGAAAACTTTTTTCCTTTAATCTCTATTTTTTATAGGAAATCGTATCATAAATAGTTTAATTACTACTGTTTTGTTTTATTTTTTTTAATAAACACCATTGTTAATGCATAATTAGTTAATAATACATTTTTGGTATATTCTTACACCTGTGGTTAATAGGTATAAGTGGGAGTACAATTAAATAATGACTAGGATATTTGACATAGTCGTTATTTAATTGTACCTACGGTCTATACCTTTGAGACAGCTTTAAACCGATGAAGAACAATGGAGCCCAAATTACAGTTACCTTCTTTGAGCTACCCGATAGGTGGCGCTTGGTAGTTCCGGAGTTAGGCGCTAGATGGCGGTCGGCGACTACGTACAGCGTTGCCGGATGTATAATGAAATGCGACGTTGCCAAATCTAAAAATCAGAAGATTTAGGGAAATTACATATAACCCATGTTATAAGATTTACATAGGGTGGGCCGCTATGGACGGGAAAATTTCCCTAAATTTAGGGAGAAAATGGGGGTTGACCTTGGGCTCAAGTGGCCCCATACCTACTCAAGTATCTAATAGTCAAATGTGGATAAAGCAATGAAAAATTTCAATGTTACGTGAATTTAGAACCTATTGTTGAGTTATGTCAATCTATTTTCTATGGATATGTTATGATTCTTATTATACGAGGGAAATGTTGAAGATGCTTCTCAACATTTTCGATATTTTGAACAATAATTATAGCTGCCAAGTCGTAAATTAACATCTTATTGAAAAATTTATAGTAGAAGAAGAAGTTTTCACTAAAGAGCAACAAAACGCACAAAATCACAATTTTACGATAAACAAAACGATTCTTAAGGTAGCCGTTTTCGA